TTAAGCATTTGTAAATCATGTTTGTTATCTGAAATCATAATTTTGATGAATACTTTATTAAACAGATTTTATTAGGATACAGAAAATTACAGTAGATCTATGATAATTTTCCAAAAGGTGTTCAGCGAAAACGAAAGTATAAATTATAAACCAATTATTTCGTTCTAAATTATTTCGAATTCAGATCTGAATCTAACCAGTTTCTAATCTCAATTCAACCAATATATAACAATAATGTACATGTAACTAAAATGTGTCCATAATCTGACCAAATTCAGACATTCCGAAAAGTAACAGGTAAATCTGTTCTTATTTTATTAAATCTATATACATGTATATAATATAAACAATAAATACAAGTTGTGGCCTCCCATTACCAGCACGGGTTCGTAAATTGCATTCACACGTGTAATCTGTATAAAATATCCTCCATTGATTCCATCAAAGTTATTGTAGAAGTTAATATATGAATCAGGAATCATCGATCCTTGGGGGAAATTTTAGGGAAAGGTGACTTCCTCGCGATAATTAGGGAGAAGGGAAACAACCCAATGTGTATGCATTAACGAATTATGGACAGGGTGGACCGTACCAGGGCGGACCGTATGTTTGGACGGGGCGGACCATATTTTGGGACAGGGTGGACCGTTTATACCGGGAATAAACTTTAACCTTTACTTAATGCAGTTTATTGATTAAAAATATTTTTTAGGATATTATTAATAACCACATTGAGTTGGATATTATGCAGGTGATAATTGACCAATATTACATGCCATTGTTTGTTAAATATAAGATGGAAAGCCGCTAAAATTGAAATTCTTTATTAAACAATATGATACAGAAAATACTTGTTATTCACATCTGATATTGTGAAACACAATACAACACAATAACGTAAAATTTTTCTTTAACGAAGTGCTTGTTTGAGGGGAAGGATTGCTATTTTGTTTATAGTCTGTAGAAATACACATAGACAGTATAAGTCAAAATATATCCTTTATTGACAGTCCAAGAAATTATGTTACAAATACAATGTATAATAATAAGAATTCTCAATACATGTACATCAATATATAAAATTCTTGACAATTTATTTCAATATAATAACAATTATTTATTAAAATTAAGTTGGGGAAATAATTATTCACTTAGCATTATGAGAACATTTTGATAATTAAAATAGGTAACAGGTACCATGTCAACAAAATGTATATAATAAAATACTTAATTTACATTACAAAAATCAATGTTCAATCACAGTATTCATGTGTTCCAAAAATACAAGTCAAACTATGAAAAATATGTTGTAAGTAAAACATAAAGTTACATTTTAACAAGTCAGAGACTAAAGTAAGTCTACAAAATTTCATGTCCTATAGATTTTAGAAAAAGAGTTAAAATATAAAATAAAGTTTAACATGAGTTAAAATATAAAATAAAGTTTAACATACCTGTAGAAATACACATAGACAGTATAAGTCAAAATATATCCTTTATTGACAGTCCAAGAAATTATGTCTGTCTAACTTAAACTGTCTCTTTTATCATGTTTATAGGTATGTTTTGGAATTGTTTGAAAAGTAGAATTAATTTATTAATGTGTTTTCACTTATAAATGTCAAAAACTAAGAAGGAAACAAAGCTGTGATATTTTACTCAGCTATTATTCTGTATTTGTTTGTATTTAATCTATAAAAAAACAGTCCATCTGTTAAACTCTATAAAAAAAACAGTCCATCTGTTAAACTAAGAAAAGTGCTAAAAAGACCTAAAGTGCTTCCTAGGCTTAAGCAAAATGTGTTGATTAAACAATATCTTAAGTATGTTTGACATGTTAAGAATGATGGTTTCTATCCCAAAGTTTGAAGAAGTTATTACTGTAAAAAATACATGTTATTTTAAGGTTTAAATTTGAAAATACAAACAAGTAAACTATAGATACAAAAATGTACAAAAATATGCATTATGTAATATAAAAATATAACTCATATTTGGGGTTCCTTATAATATGATACAGAAAATACTTGTTATTCACATCTGATATTGTGAAACACAATACAACACAATAACGTAAAATTTTGATTCTTCGACAAGTTAGTTTATATTAGAATTTGTTTAATTAAGATGATGTCTGTTTAGTGAATTACATGTAATATACATTGTATATTAATTAATTATTATTTCTTCGTTTTCATATTGTTATTAAGTAATATAAATAATCTATTTTCCTCTATACAGCGAAATTTAATGTTATGAATGGTATATATAAAAAATAGTACAATGAAGGTAATTATACCCCCGCACAACAAAGTTGTAAGGGGGGTATCCTGGAATCAGCTTGTCCATCCGTCCGGCCGTCCGGCCATCCGTCGGTTTTTTCTTGTCCGCCCAATAACTTAAGATTCCTTTGACCCTTAGTCTTCATATTTGGCATGGAGGTTAGTCATGATTAGTAGATGACCCCTATTGATTTTGAGGTCAAAGGTCAAGGTCACAGGGGCCTTGACTTCAAAAAGCTTGTTTGCCCAATAACTTAAGATTCCTTTGACCTACAGTCTTCATATTTGGCATGGAGGTTAGTCATGATTAGTAGATGACCCCTATTGATTTTGAGGTCACCAGGTTAAATGTCAAGGTCACAGGGGCCTTGACTTCAAAAAGCTTGTCCGCCCAATAACTTAAGATTCCTTTGACCTACAGTCATCATATTTGGCATGGAGGTTAGTCATGATAAGTAGATGACCCCAATTGATTTTGAGGTCACCAGGTCAAAGGTCAAGGTCACAGGGGCCTTGACTTCAAAAAGCTTGTCCGCCCAAGAACTTAAGATTCCTTTGACCCATAGTCTTCATATTTGGCATTGAGGTTAGTCATGATTAGTACATGACCCCTATTGACTTTGAGGTCACCAGGTCAAAGGTCAAGGTCACAGGGGCCTTGACTTCAAAAAGCTTGTCCGCCCAATAACTTAAGATTCCTTTGACCCATAGTCTTCATATTTGGCATTGAGGTTAGTCATGATTAGTACATGACCCCTATTGACTTTGAGGTCACCAGGTCAAAGGTCAACGTCACAGGGGCCTTGACTTCAAAAAGCTTGTCCGCCAAATAACTTAAGATTCCTTTGACCCACAGTCTTCATATTTGGCATTGAGGTTAGTCATGATTAGTAGATGACCCCTATTGATTTTGAGGTCACCAGGTCAAAGGTCAAGGTCACAGGGGCCTTGACTTCAAAAAGCTTGTCCACCCATTAACTAAAGATTCCTTTGATCCACAGTCTTCATATTTGGCATGGAGGTAAGTCATGATTAGTAGATGACCCCTATTGACTTTGAGGTCACCAGGTCAAAGGTCAAGGTCACAGGGACCTTGACTTCAAAAAGCTTGTCCGCCCTATAACTTAAGATTCCTTTGACCCACAGTCTTCATGTTTGGCATGGAGGTTAGTCATGATTAGCAGATGACCCCTATTGATTTTGAGGTCACCAGGTCAAAGGTCAAGGTCACTGGGACTTTGACTTCAAAAAGTTTGTCTGCCCAATAACTTTAGATTTCTTTGACCCACAGTCTTCATATTTGGCATGGATGTTGATCATGACTATAAGGTGACCCCTATTGATTTTTAGGTCACTGGGTCAAAGGTCAAGGTCACAGGGACCTTGACAAAAAAAGCTTTTCTTCTCAATTGCTAAAGAATGTCCTGTCCGCAATGTATTGATTTTGACATTTTCACATTTGAAGCATGTAGAATACATAACTTAGCAATGCACTGGCTTAGTAACCTCAGATTTGGCAGGGAGGTTGTCCTTGAACTCTAAATGGCCACTGTTGATTCTGACAAAGTGGTATGCGGGGGTATTCACGCCATGATAGTGGCAGTTCAAGTTTATATTAACATTGAGGGCATAAGGAAAATATGTTTTATATTTGAGATTTTCTCAAACCATTCACATTAGCTTATACAACCTATTTTATACTTATAATTGTATGGGTCAATATCTATAATAATGAATATAAAGTTAGATTAATCCACAATCCACCTTATGCACATGATTAAAATATTAATATCATATGAAGATTTAACAAGTTTTAGATCGATGTTAAAATTTTAAATTCAAATCTGTTCAATATGAAAATGCTTATAATTACGACATGTTTAGGATAATAATGATGCCAAAATATATATAGAAAATTAAATAGCAATATATAATTCGAAAATATACATGGTCCGCCTCGTCTCGAGTCACGGTCCGTCCTGTCCCAAAATATGGTCTGCCCCGCCCTGGTACGGTCCATTATACTGTCTCACGGTCCGCCCTATTTCACCTCCGCATTATCATGATGGCTTATTGGCTATACATCCTTTAACTATAATATAAACACAATTAACAACACTTATAATATTTCTACAGTTTATTAATTTAATAAATAGATCTGGCAATGGCATCTAAATGTTTTTGAGCTGCAAATATGAATAAAAACAAATTACAAAATGTATTTATAAAAATTCTCTAAATATTTGTTTCTATATTTTCATGTAGATTTGTTGTTAATAATGACACAGATTTATATGACAAGGATCGGACACTCCAAGTTAACCCTATATAAATTTCCTAAATAAATTTGCTCTACCTCTAAACTAAAATCCTTGAACGCATGTATATGTTATTATTCATTCAAAATAAAAATGTTGTCGAAAATTATTCGTTGATTGAAAGTATCACAAATGAAAACGAAAGTAGACAACTTGATTCATTAATATCAAAAGGAAAGAATAACCGATGATTTCCGGCAATTCCCGTGTCACACAGTGACAAATTTTTTTGTTTTTTTTAGGAACTGTTGCAGTGATTTAATAGGACTAGAGACATTTAAAGATTAACAAAGTTTATATAATCTGAATTATTCTTATACAAAAAAGTTGGGCCGTTATTATATGTTTTTTTTGTTTTTAAATCGTTTTTTTGTTTTTGATAGAATTTCAGGTTCCTGTGGTTATTGCTACTGACTGAATTAATCGGGATAAAAAAAACAACTTGATGACGCTTACGGTAGTGTTTTTTCTAATCAAATGTACCTTTCAACTGTTTCACGGTAAATTGAAAACAACAACAGTAAAAAACATCTTTATTTTCGAATCGTAATCTAAAATGAAATGTAAAATGAGATTGCACTCTCATTTATTTACACCAGACACTGACATGGTGTAACGTGGTAATACTCTCTCTGAGTCACCACGTGCTGTTTCACTCTCATCACATGTTTCTCACGCAGTCCTCGGTCACTCGGTTTTATGGACAAATACTTAAGCGGAGTTGCGAGTGGATTCCTCGATCCTCCGAGGTTTTTGCATATATTCCTCGTTATCTGTACTGTAGATGAGCAATCTGGGGCTATATGGCCCTCTAGTGATAGTAGCAATGCCTTCATTGTAAGTCAAAGTTTATGGTCCCTTAACTGGGGCCAGCTTTCAGGGCATACAAGTGTTTGTGATCAGTCATAGTTAATGTTGGTTTTCCTTGGATTCTTACAAATTGTAGCTAAAAATATTTTTTGTTTGTTTTAGAAATCAAGATGGCACATGAGATACATTTAAAGAATAACAATTACCGGCAGTGGGTTAAGGCTGGCCTAGGCTTGGGTTATCTTAAAGAGGGACTTGCGCCATTTTGTGATGACATTGGAAGACAGCAGCACAACGATATTATTAACAAAATACAACAAACAAAGACTCCTCAACCAAACGTACCATGTGGCGCCTGTCAGATAACAACCCTCCAGCCAGATCATGTCCGAGTCTCAAAAGGGATATGTCCCCTACAACAAGATAAATGTAACTGTTGTTTTCCAAATAATAAGAGACCCTGTCCAAACAATATATGTGGTGCCATCTATGACAGCATTATACAGTATCATGCATCAATGCCACCAGCACCTTTTTGGAAAAACAGTGATGCCCAACAGTGGTCGACAGACCCGTGGAAGGTTTGCAAATGTTTTATAAATGCTCCTGGGTACAAGGACAAGACATCAGCAGTCGACACCGATTGTACTGGGTTGCTTCATGTTATCATAAATAACAAATACTTTCATAGTCACATTGGATGCAATGTTACAGGACCAAACAATCTTTTTTCAAAGGTAACTAGATTTGTATACTATATTTATTATGTTTATTTTAAATTTTGTAAAATATTAAAGCAGCACGCCTCCATTTCATGCTTATTATCCCCCGCCGATGGAATCGGGAGGGGGATATAGTTTTGGCGTTGTCCGTCCGTCAATCCGTCCGTCCGAATTTCGTTTCCGGAGTAGTTGTCTGCAACTACTGGCTGGAATTCAACGAAACTGATGGGAATCATCAATATCAAGAGGAGATGCGCATCTGACCGTCCGTTCGTCCGTCCGTCCGAATTTCGTTTCCGGAGTAGTTCTCTGCAACTACTGGCTGGAATTCAACGAAACTTTATGGGAATCATCAATATCAAGAGGAGATGCGCATATCGTCGGCTTGTTCCGGTCAGACACTTTAACTCAGAGTTATTGCCCTTGATTAGTTATGCAGTATGCATATAGAGTAAAAATCGTTTCCGCACTACTTCTCTGCAACTACTGGCTGGAATTCAACGAAATTTTATGGGAATCATCAATACCAAGAGGAGATGCGCATATTATCGGCTTGTTCCGGTCAGACTCTTTAACTCAGAGTTATGGCCCTTGATTAGTTATGCAGTATGCATATGGAGTAAAAATCGTTTCCGCGCTACTTCTCTGCAACTACTGGCTGGAATTCAACGAAACTTAATGGGAACCTTCAATACCAAGAGGAGATGCGCATGTCGTCAGCTTGTTCGGGTCAGACACTTTAACTCAGAGTTATGGCCCTTGATTAGTTATGCAATATGCATATGGAGTAAAAATCATTTCCGGAGTAGTTCTCTGCAACTATTGGCTGGAATTCAACGAAACTTTATGGGAATCATCAATATCAAGAGGAGATGCGCATATCATCGGCTTGTTCCGGTCAGACCTTTTAACTCAGAGTTATGGCCCTTGATTAGTTATGTAGTATGCATATAGAGTAAAAATCGTTTCCGCACTACTTATCTGCAACTACTGGCTGGAATTCAACGAAACTTTATGGGAATCATCAATATCAAGAGGAGATGCGCATATCATCGGCTTGTTCCGGTCAGACACTTTAACTCAGAGTTATGGCCCTTGATTAGTTATACAGTATCCATACAGAAAAATATTTGTTTCCTCGTTACTTCTCTGCTACCACCGGCTGGAATTCAATGAAACTTTATGGGATACTAAGAGGAGATGTGCATATAGTCGCCTTGTTCCAGTCAGATACTTATAACTCAGATTTATGGCCCTTGATTAGTTATGTAGTATGCATACATCTCATTGGCATTTCCAGATTTTACTATTTAACACAAAGTTATGGCTCTGTTATTTCCCTGAATATTTATCAAGTTCAAAGAATATTACTGTTTATGCCATGATTAATATATAAATAAAGTCTTATGTCTTCAGTTGTTGTGTTAATAATAACCAGTACTCGGCGGGGGATATAAATTTCATGTATATTTTGATAATGTATTTGAATGTACAATATTGTGAAATAACTAAAAAGAAGCACTTGACACATTTTCAATGGCACTTAAAACCCAAGTAAATTACAAAAAAAGTGGTCAAAATATGCAAAAATAGCCGTTACTGCATTAGTAACGCAGTAGAAATATAGTAAAACTGTTGTAAATACTGAAAAATCAGTCATTTGTCACAAAGTGACAGGGTGAGCTTTTGTGATCGCTTTTCGTCCGGCTTCTGTCCGTCGTCCGTCCGTCCGTAAACTTTTACTTTAAGTGACATCTCCACAAAACCACTAAGCCAATTTCATCCAAACTTCACAGGAATGTTTCTTTGGTGGTCACCTTGAAAATTTGTTCAAAGAATTTGATTCCATGCAGAACTCTGGTTGCCATGGCAACCGAAAGAAAAAACTTCAAATAGCTTCTTTTAAAAAAAAACCCTAAGAGCTAGAGCTTAGATATTTGGCATGAAACATCTTCTAGTGAGTGTCTACGAAGTTTGTTCAGTAAAAGCCCTGGGGTCAAAATTGGCCCGCCCCAGGGGGTCATTGATTTTCCCTATATGCATATAGTAAAAACTTAAAAAAATTTCTTTTAAAGAACCCAAAGAGCTAGAGCTAAGATATTTAGCATGAAACATCTTCTAATGATTGTCTACCAAGTTTGTCAAATAAAAGCCCTGGGGTCAAATTTGGCCCCGCCCTGTGGGTCAATCATTTTCCCTATATGAAAATAGTTACCTTGAAGTTACCTTTTTGAATTTTTAAAGGAATTAACCCATACCGCTGAAATTATGTCCATATAACTATGAGTTTAATGCCAGAAAAACGATTTGCAACAAATGTGTAATGATTTAAAATTGTTATGCCCCCATTTCGAAGAAAAGGGGGTATATTGCTTTGCACTTGTCGGTCCGTCGGTCCGTAGACCAAATGGTTTCCGAGTGATAACTAAAGAACCCTTAGGCCTAGGAACTTCAAACTTGGTATGGTGATTGGTCATGACCAGTAGATGACCCCTATTGATTTTGGGGTCAAGGGGTCAAAGGTCAAGGTCACATTGACCTTGTAAGCAAAAACGGTTTCCGATCAATAACTAAAGAACCTTAAGGCCTAGGAACTTCAAACTTGGTATGGTGATTGGTCATGACCAGTAGATGACCCCTATTGATTTTGGGGTCAAAGGGTCAAAGGTCAAGGTCACATTGACCTTGTAAGCAAAAACGGTTTCCGATCAATAACTAAAGAACCTTAAGGCCTAGGAACTTCAAACTTGGTATGGTGATTGGTCATGATCAGTAGATGACCCCTATTGATTTTGGGGTCAAGGGGTCAAAGGTCAAGGTCACATTGACCTCTTAGGTAAAAACGGTTTCCGATCAATAACTAAAGAACCCTTAGGCCTAGGAACTTCAAACTTGGTATGGTGATTGGTCATGACCAGTAGATGACCCCTATTGATATTGGGGTTAAGGGGTCAAAGGGCAAGGTCACATTGACCTTGTAGGTAAAAATGCTTTCAAATCAATAACTTAAGAACCCTTTGGCCTAGGAACTTCAAACATGGTATGGTGATTGGTCATGACCAGCAGATGACCTATTGATTTTGGGGTCAAGGGGTCAAAGGTCAAGGTCACATTGACCTTGTATGTTAAAACGGTTTCCGATCAATTAACTAAAAACTCTTAGGCCTAGGAACTTCAAACTTTGTATGATGATTGGTCGTGACCAGCAGATGACCCCTATTGAGTTTTGGGTCAAGGGGTCAAAGGTTAAGGTCATGACCAGTAGATACTTGATAACCCTTATTAATATTTTGATCACTGGGTCAGAAGTCATGCATAATAACCTTTTCACATGACTAATTGGCTGCTGATAGGGGGCATACATGTTTTACAAACATATCTTGTTATGCATAAAATCTTACTCACAAATATTTTGTTTGCAATACAATCTTTGTGCTAGCTGTAATTTGTGTGGGCGGGAAACAAAAACTTTTTTTATTTTAAGCTTCACTGTTAAATGTAAAGAAGGAGGTTATTTGTACTTAAACTGAGGTCTAAAAGTCTAAAAACATAACATAATAATGAAATTCTTACATAAATGAGCTGGGGCACTTTAAATAGTAATATATGCAAAGATATTTAAGAAATATACTTTGAAATAAATTGAAAATCGTATTTTTGTGCTTTTCTTAGCCTAATTTGAGTGAAAAGCGTTTTAACACTTTTCAGTTTTGGTCAGTTTCTTACAATTTGAATAATTATTCTGGAAAAACGAAGTGTGTGAATGATCTTTAATTTTGCAGAAAGATTAGTGGTCTAAACCTACATCAAATGGTACAATTATCTGGAAAAAATATTTTCAGTCCCATCATGTCAAAAAACCTCAGTGAAGTCCCTTTAATAAGCAAATGCAACATGTACATACTATTACTTCAGTGAAATAATTATAACATTTATGAAAAGCAATTTCTATTCCATTTGCTTTTATATAATCTGCGGTTTAAACACAATAATAATAATGATTATTATGGTAAGTATTTTAAAGTAACTCCTTTATTACAGTTTTAATTCTCAACTTAAGAATTGTGTTTAGTCTCATTGCTGAACACTGTATTTATGTGAATGTTGTATTATTTGTTTTCTGTATATTAGGTACGGCAGTACCGAAACGAAATTTTTCACTCGAGCAATATGGAGTTAGAGGAGAGCAAAGCTAATTGTTATATTGATGACATGATAGCTGTTCTACAAGATGGTAAAGAACTTTTACATCAACAAGATGCACAACAAGCTGTCAGAAAACTTCAAGATGTAAGTGTACATAATAAATTATAAGTTTGAAATCTTTAAAGAGTTAAATTATCATAACTTGAATTAAGCATATTTTACTAAATTTACAGAGTTAAATAGAAAAAAGTGCTCTAAAGCCCCAATCAAATTACGACCAGTGAAGACCAGTTCACGAAAACCAGTGACCTCTGGTCGCGGACAATCTTTAAAACGTCTTACGACGGTCATCGGTGATCTTTGACAGTCGCAGATTATCTTATTTAGGTCCCACGACCAATTTCAGTCGTAGAGAGGTTTTTGAGCTTGCACAAAAACCTCCTTGCGATCAAACAGGTCGCTAGTGATCTTATAAGGTCTTAAGACTGTCGCACGATGGTCGTTCGGAAGTGCGACAGTCTTTACAAATTGCCACTAGTCACTGATAATCTTAAGAAGTCTTTAGTAATCGTGTGATGGTCGTACGACAAGTTGTAGGTGATCGCATGTTATGTCATGGGTAGTCGTAAGTAATCCCAGGCAATCTTGAGACCATCGTACGTATATTATGACCTGTCGTGCGATTGTCAATGATGACTTGTCTTACGATAGTCACAAAAGTAAATTTTTCTGTGCAAAAATGGTTTTGGTCGCAGACAATCGCTGAATTGATCGTCAGTTTTACAAGTCGCCGGTGGTCGCAAGTAATCGTAAGCTCTAGTGTGACTGGGGTTTGAGTGGTTACTTCATTTTAGTCAAATTTAAGTAACAACTGCCTTAAGTTAACTTATATTGATGAAATCAAATGAAATACCTACAAATACAAAAATACGGATCTAAGCTTGTTAGTAACAGGTAAGAAAAACAAATGTGAAGAAAATAGAGAATTCTTGCAATCAAATGACTATACCACACATCCTGCCTTAAAAGCAGATTTTTGAAGCCCTCAGAAAAAGTATGAGAATTAAAATAAAAAACATTTGTGGTAATTTTGAAATAAAAATGTTGCTATATGATATAGCTACATTTTATCTCTGAAAGAAAATCGAACTTTTTTTTTATCCATCAGCTAAAGCAAAAAGACTTTGTTATCACTACTGAATGCTCTGAAGAAATTTTGAAACAAATCAAAGATGAAATGACAAAAATGCGGGAATTTACCGAAAATGCTGCAACTAAAGATGAATATGAGGAGCTTAAAAATAAAGTTATTGAACTTGAAAGACAGTTGGCAAAAGAAAAAGAGGGACAACTTGAGGCTGGGAAAGAACAGAAAAGAAAGTTTACTGAACTTGAGGCAGTTATAACAGAGCAAAAACAGGTAAAAAATGTTTTCCTTTTGTTTGTTTCAGGTTGATATACCAGTACATGTATTCCAATACAACTACGTCCATCCGTCTGTGCGTCCCCACTTCATTCGTGTCCGGACTGTAACTTTGTCATACATTGAGGGATTTTAAAATAACTTGGCAAAATTTCTACCACATCAAGACGATGTGTTGCGTCTAAGAACCACGTCCCTACCTCAAAGGTCAAGGTCACACTACCATTTTGAAGTACACTTTATCACAATTAGAGTTTATAGGTACACACATTCATGTCCGGGCTTTGTCATGCATTGGAGGAAAGGTGGCAACAAAGACCCATGCCACTACCTTCAAGGTCAAGGTCACACTTATAGTTTGAAGGTACTTGTTTTTTGAGAAGAGTTTGAGGATACACATTTATGTCAGGACTGTAACTTTGTCTTGCATAAAAGGATTTTAAAATAACTTGGCACAAATGTCTACCACATCAAGACAATGTGTCGCGGCTAAGGCTCATGTCCGTCTGTCTGCGTGTCCCCACTTACACAACAATCATGTCCAGACTGTAACTTTATCATGCATTGAGGAATTTTGAAATAATTTGGCACAGATATTTATCTCAAAACAACATTTTGTTGTGTCCAGGAACTTGGTCCCTTCTTCAAAAGTCAAGGGCACACTATTTTGAAGCATCATGCTATCACAATTAGAGATTACAGGTACAATAATGCAAAGAACAATATTCAGCAATTAGTTACTTTCATTCTCTTTTCTTTTCATAATACCTACATGCTTAAGAAAACCTTTTTGAGGCATTCGTCACTTTGGTGACAGCTCTTGTTTCTGTCATAATTATTTTTTCAATTTTAATGAAAAAAAATAGGTAATTGTTTTAAGAAAAATCTCACAAAGAGTGGAAAAAAGTCAAGCTACTCTTTATTGAAATTTTGTACATTGATTTAAACAGAAGTAAACTATATAAATTAAGCAAAAAGTAGGTATTGTGCTCTTTATATAAGCAAACAAGTCTAATTTTGTAGCAGATAACTCAATAACAAGGATGGTGGCCCCCATTTTTATAACCCCCACAAAAGAAGGGGGTATATAGCAGTCCGCTTGTCGGTCGGTCTGTCCGTCTGTCGGTCCGTCCACATCATGGTTTATGGACGATAACTAGAGTTTGGAATAAGGTATTGTAATCAAACTTGGTGTATAGCAAGCTTATATGCAGACCGGTCACCCAGGCTGGTATTGCATTTGGATCCCTGGGGTCAAGATCACCATGACTAAAAATAGAAAAATGGTTTCTGGACATAAACTAGAGTTGTGAATGGAATATTTTAACCAACTTTGGTGTATAGCATCTTATATGAAGATCTCGGTTGGTAATGCATTTCGACCCCCTGGGGTCGAGGTCAAGGTCATCGTTACTAAAAATAGAAAAATGGTTTCCGGACAATAACTAGAGTTAGGAATGAGATATTGGAATCAAACTTGATGTAAAGCAAGCTTATTTGAAAACACCGGTTGTGATTTCAATTAATTGAAATAATTCTTTGTACACTTTACTATTGGTTGAGTTCAAATATTTTTTTCAGACCACTTAATTTTCAAAAAGTCAAAGTTGCTGATGGGGGTTTTACTCATCTTCAGTGATGGTTCCAGTTTAGCTTTATCATAGCCTAAGAACATGCCAAGTTTTAAGGAATTCTATTGTACAGTTATAATTTTGCCTATATATGTATAAAACTCCTAAACTTTGATCTGTAACTGAGCTTGACTATCTACAATTCCTTTTAACAACATATTGGCCAAAACAACAAAATAGATTTTGAACAACCTTTACAGAAGTGATCCCCTTATAGTCCTCTCTAAAAGTAAAATTAATCATGCCCCCTTTGAAATCAATGGCCTATCCTTAGGCTACATGGCTAAAGTGAAAGATATTTAGTGTGAAGCATTGCCTAAGTTATGAAAATCATTAACATGGGTCAAATAGAGCCATGCCTTAGTATCATGTTTATAACTTTTTCTTTAAATAGGAAAATGACTTGACTGAGGACCTATAAATTATGCCTCTATAATGTTAAACCTTCTAGAAATGGTCACTTAACAAAACAGTCTCTTAAGACTAAAAAAGAAAATTTTTATACTTTTATTACATGCTTTTTGGTGGTTTATAGAAATATAATAGAACAAAAACATTCATGTGAAACTGCATTGACAAATGTTGTTGACAATTGGATCAAGGCAATAAATGATGGAAAGGTAGTTGGCACAATCTTTCTTGACTTTTCAAAGGCATTTGACCTTGTAAATCATAAGTTACTCATCCAAAAACTTCATTTTTATCAAATTTCTTCTTCTGCAATTACTTGGTTTACATCATATCTTGAAAATAGATCACAGAAGGTCAGTGTATCTGGCAACCTATCAAAATCAGCATCAGTTATATCAGGGGTACCTCAAGGATCTGTCCTTGGACCTTTGCTTTTCATCATATATATAAATGATCTACCACTCCATTTGAAAACCTCAGAGGCAGATCTTTTTGCTGATGACACTACTCTTACAGCAGCAGGTCTCTCTATACAAAATTTACATGATAAACTCCAAGCTGACCTTGACAATGTAAATCTGTGGTGCAAACAGAATGCAATGATGCTAAACGCAAAGAAAAAAAAAGCAATGAACCTGTCATCCAATAATAATAAACAACAATTACAACCACTACACCTGCAAGAACATGAAATTTGAATTTACTGAAACTGAAAAGTTATTAGGTGTTCATATTGACAATAACCTTAAGTGGAAAACCCAAGTAGATAAGACGTTAAAGAAATGCAATACTCAGTTGTACCTTCTTCTAAGAATAAAACAGTACCTTGATGTAAATACAAGAAAACTGTTCTTTAATGCTTATATCTTACCACATTTAGATTATTGTTGTACAGTCTGGGGAAACTGTAGCAATGAACAAGTTATGGATATAATAAAATTTCAGAAAAGAGCTGCAAGAATCATTCTTGACAAAAGTTATGATGCCCCATCTACTGAATTATTTAATGAATTAAATTGGATAAAATTTGATGAAAGAATAAGATACAAGAAAGCTGTCATTATGTATAAATCATTAAACAATGCTTCATTTCCAAAGTACATGAAAAACAAATTTCAATTTATTCACCAAAAAACATGAGCGTAACCTCAGGTCAGCAAAAAATTCAGATTTATTTATACCTAAACCAAAAAAAGAAATTTTTAGAAAATCTCTGACTTACTCGGGCCCCAAACTATGGAATAATATCCCTCTCTCCGTACGTAAATCTGAAACTGTTGGAAAATTTCAAGCATCCTATATCAGTTGGAATCTCTCTCAAGTACCTTGATCTTACATAGATTTAGTGTAAAGTAATGTATGTTCATGCATTGTACATGTATTTTGAATATCTATTGTGTTTTTAATTATTTATTGTTTCATATAGTAATATATTATTATATTTTGTGTTTTCATGTGTATATGTATTTTGAAAACTTCACTGTATAACCATGATGTAAATTATGTATATTTTATGTATATTTATGTTTTTGAGGCCCACGTGGAAGATTGGGAAACCAAATGTGTAGCCTCATTAAATAAAGACTTTACTTACTTACTTACTTACTTACTATGTTCAAGTAAAAAATAACTTTCTGATACTTATTATTGACAAAACAGCTTTGATCCATTACCTACATGTTTTACATTTTCTGAAATTTTCAAGCTACTGTACTACGTTACTTTTCCTTGTCCTCGGCACGTAAAATCTAATTTGTGTAAATCTTTTCTGTGGTGATTTTCAATTCAAAGAAACTAACTACAGTCAGTACATGTAACTGTAACTATTAATTTAATTACTGATTATAAAAGTTCAAGGTCAATTCAATGCAGTCAAAATATCAACAGTGAAGTGTATACACCATCTCAGTAAGGACAGGGCATTGTTCTATCGATTTTATTCGATCATACATGTCACATCTTAAATTAACTTCATTTGCATACGCTAAAAACTGTTTGGGAAATACAGTTTTTCACACATTTATATATTTTGTTATGATTGTTGACACTTGTGAAATCACGAGGCGGCTTTCACTAAAAACACAAACATTTGACAGGTAGGAGCACTTTAAGAATATGCCTGCAGTAAAATCTGTGTTTTACCATTTAAAAGTGGTCGTTTTATTAAAAGATTAATATCAAATAGCTGACTAATTAGCCGTCGCCGATAGCGTTGAGCAAAAGTCGCTTTGAAATACATTAAAGATATATAGGAAATGCTCTTGGGGGATTTACAGTGGTCGCTTAGGACAAAATTTGCTTAATACATGTGGTCGCATGGGCAAGTTTAAAGATTGTATTTTACTGATCAAGCTCAAATGCAAGTTTTCATAACTTCATGTTTCAAAAGTAGCAACTAAAGACCTGACTGCAAATAAGAAATCTAAAATGAAAAAGGGGTGTATCATTTGGGTACAGTTAGCATAAATAAGTATAAACTATAGACTCTATATATAGGTGAGCGATTTCAGGCCCATCATGGCCCTCTTGTTTAGATAATATTTATTATTGGCACACAGTAAAAATACAAATATTACTGTATACAATAGATATTTTTGAAAATTACTAAATTATTTAAAATAAAACACAATTATTTGTTTTATTAATTATGTTGTAGGAGATAGAAAGACTCAAGTTAGAAGATTCTCCTCAACAGAAACAGTTAGAATATAAAAAGGCAAAATCAGGTATGTTATATAGAAAATGAAAGGGTGAAATCGGGTATGTTATATAGAATAGGAAAAGGTTAAATCAGGTATGTTAAATAGAATATGACTATGAATATGACTATATTGTACAGAATTTGAAAAGACTAAATCAGGTATGTTATATATTATTGAAAAAGGCTAAATCAGGTTTGTTATATATTATATAAAAATGCTTAATCATGTATGCTATATAGAAAAGGGCTAAAATAGAGAAAATAAGAATCCCTAAAGAAATCCAAAAACGACAGAATTGAAATTGTCGCAGGCTTGGTTAGATATAGCCTGTTAGTGGAAGGTACTGGTAAGTGCAAACTACCGTCCACGCCTCCTAGCACTGGCTTGAGCAGAATTCAACAATAAACATGAAATGATAAAATTTTGCACTTAGAAACAGCCGTAGATATGTTCTTATGGCGGTTATCAATGCGACACTTCCGTGCCATTCCATGAAAAGCCATGTATGGTCCCCAAGTATGAGAAAGCGTGTGCCTCGAGTATGTTATATAAAATATGAAAAGGCTAAATCAGAAATGTTATATAGATAATGAAAAGGCTTAATCAGGTATGTTACATATAATATGAAAAAGGTTAAATCAGGTATATGTTATATAATATATGAAAAGGCTAAATCAGGTAGGTTGAATAATATATGAAAAGGCTAACTCAGGTTTGTTATACAGTGTATGGAAGGGCTTAATCAGGTATGTTGTACAGAATTTGACAAGTCTATCAGGTATATGATATAAAATATAAAAAGGCTTAATCAGGTTTGTTATATAAAATATGAAAAGGCTAAATCTGGTATGTTATATAAAATATAAAAAGAATTAATCAGTTATGTTATATTCTATAGTATGAAAAGGCTAAATCTGGTATGTTATATAAAATATAAAAAGAATTAATCAGTTATGTTATATTATATAGTATGAAAAGGCTAAATCAGGTATGTTATAAGGCTAAATATGTAAATAATGTTACATAGAATATGAAAAAGGCTGAATCAGGTATGTTACATATGAAAAGGCTAAATTGGATATTTTATGCAGGATATGTAAAGGCTTAATCAGGTATGTTATATACTGCAGTCTGGGAAATTAGGCACACCTCAATGCCATATGCGGGAAAAATCCAATTTAGGCCTGCAAAAATCCAAAGCAAAAATGTAATCCCGAGGTTCGTTTTAATTTGGAATATGTCTTCATACAAATGAGTTTCAGTTTCAATTCTTTTGAAATTATTGAGACTGGGAGATAAACTTTGTGGTTGTGTTACTTAGGGTTATGCATTCATAGAGTGCAATGCTTCTTTTGTTGATATTTGTTTTCATATTTTAAACAAAGTAGAAAGCAGTAGATTGACAAGTAAAGTTAAGTATATAGAAAAAAGATAATTTAATTTAAAAACTGACTGACTGATATACCGAGCTTGTGTGCCTACATTAAACTGTTGTCTTTATTTTGCACAATAAGTGTTTTGGGCCTGTGATAATCTGTCAATGCAGGTCCATACTAATTTCTGTATTATTAACTCATTGATTTGTCCTTAACAAACAATTTGATGTCATATTATCATTTAAATTACAGAATGGCGGAAAAAGCTGATTGAACAGTATCACAAAACCCTGCTGCAAGTTCCTACATCACCTTTACAACCAAAAAGTGAAAAATGTAGCTTTAATGAGATTTATATAAGGCCAAAAATAACGAGGGAAATAAAACGAGAAAAGGGTGAGACAATGGAGGTGGAGGTTGTAACAATGTCAGAAATCTTCACAAAGGAGGGAGTCCCACAAAAATCTGTATATGTAATAGGAGATGCAGGGTCAGGAAAAACTAGCTTTTGTAAATATCTGGTCAACTGTTGGTGTTTGGCACATAGTAAAGAACATGAAGCTGGCAATGAAAATGATGATGGCAATGGTAAACCTGAAGGGAACAGTGAAAAACATGGAGATGACAGTAAAAAACATGGAGCTTGCAATGAAAATGAAGATGGCAATGGTAAACCTGAAGGGAACAGTGAAAAACATGGAGATGACAATGAAAATCAAGGAGGTGTCAATGAAAATGAAAGTGGCACTGAGGAACAAGGAGGTGATAATGAAGGACATGGAGCTGGACATGTCGATGAAATTGAAGATGGCAAAGAGAAACACAGAGGTGATTTTGAAGAACATGAAAAAAAGGGAAGTGACATTATAAATAAAGAGGTAAAGGGGGCACATAGTAGAGACATTGAAAACGAAGAGTGCAGTAAGACACATCAAGGTGTTATTGAGAAACGAGGCAATGAAAAACATGTTGGTGACATGAAGAAAAATGGAAGTGACAGTGATGACATTCTAGATAACAACGATGACTTAGTACACTCCGAATCTCACAATGATGACTCTGATGAGATCTTAACGGACTTTAAATTTAACATTTATGACTCTGAATATGATAGCAAAAGTTATGAACTGAAATTCAATGGTGTAAAAGAGATGAAGAAATTTGATTTTGTATTTTACATCCCTCTTAGACAGTATAATCAAAACATTGGCATTGATGAAATGCTTCTAAAACGTTATCAAATGAAAATGTTAAACACACTTCTTGAAGAGGAATCCTCTAGGGTTATGATTTTGCTTGATGGCTTAGATGAATGGTCCTCTGAAAATGTCCCAGAACATAGTATCTTTAAGGAGTACACAATAGTAACTACTTCTCGGCCATGGAAATTTCATACATTAAGATCAAGTGATGTTGAGATTGAACAGTCGCTGAATCTGAAAGGGTTTGATTTTAGATGTGAAAGGGAAATGGTAAATAGGACAGTCTCACAATTAAATGTAAATAGACATGCTAATAAACAAGCCAGAGATTGTAGGGAAAAGCTAGAAGAAGAGTCTCTGAAAAGTTTAAAACAGGTACCAATTATGCTACAACAACTGATATGTCTATGGTTTGATGGTAAACTCGATAAAACATCAAGATGTGCCATCTACACTGGTATGTTAGAGTTATTCTTCACCTGGAATGACATGAAAACTACAGGAACAAGTACTCGACTCATGAAGGGTGCCCAGAAAGTAGATCTTCCTAAATATTTAGCCGATAAAACCAAATTAAGATTAAACCGCCATTTCATTTATGAAGTATCACAGTTGGCTTATGAGACACTATTTAATTGTCCGAAGGATAAATCCTTGACATTTGACATTTGTATGTTTGATGAACTAGAAATATCAGATGAAGTAAGAGAAAATTGCTTGAAACTTGGAATAATGACAGAAGATGAATGTCCAAGTTTATCTGTATCAGAACCATCAAGCTCATTGTTCTCTTTCATTCACAAATCAATGCAAGAATTTCTGGCTGCAGTGAATATTGGTATAAATTTCAATGCAAAAATGTGTTCATCAGATAGTACAGGAAATGTTGAATTAGTCAAAAAGTTTATTTGTGAGGTTTTTCGGAATTGTTCAACAGTAAATGACATATTAGAGCAGTCAAATGTCATCATTATGCTATCTGGTCTAGAACCTAGATTAGCAACACATGTTTCAAAATACATATATGATACTGTGTCAGAAGACTCTCGTGTTCAGGAATACAGGAGAACAACAAATAGTAACATTTATGAGGATCATAGTTGTATAACTGATATTCAAAAGCTTATGTTTGAGTCAATTGAAGAATTCAATGCAGCATGTAGTATAGGAAGTAATCCTGTATTTTATATAGGAGATTTGGTCATTGATAGTCAGTATTGTGATATTGTTTGTTCAGGTATTGACCAGCATCAAATTGTTCCTGACACTGTTCTGTCTATTAAGGTAGATGACATCAACACAAAAAATGTTAAATTTACAAAATATTTACCAATGTTTCATCATCTTGAAAAAATTGAAATAATTCTTAATTCACAGGGTAATACCAGTGAACAGATGATTGATGAGATAAACAATTGTGTTTCTGAGACAATTAAAGTAAATACTTCAACATTAAAATCTCTGTGTCTTCATGGTGACTATCACACTGACAAGTATTACACTGACGCGTATTACCCAGTGTGTAAAACAGTTGTTAGTTACCTACCTAGTATGATCAATCTTGTAGCAATAGCAATGTGGTCTATACCAATGAGTCATGATGATACTACTACATTTTGTAATTTTCTTGAGGGAACCAGTCATCTTGAACAAATACATCTTTTTCAAGTTAAATGTGAGTGTGAGAACCAGCATGATGTAAATTTATCAAAACATAAACAACTTCAGTACCTTGTTTTACATGGTGCTGTTAGTGTGAAAGATGCTGATACTACAAACCTTGAAATATTTACATTTTGTGAATTGAAAAATAGTAATTATGAAAAAATATTAGATATTTTTAGAAAATCTTACAAATTAAAAGAACTTGTATTGTATGTAGATTATTACAATAAATCTCAATTATATCATACCAACATAACAAAGAGAGTAGTCACAGTATTACCATTGTTACACAATCTCAGTAAGTTTGACTTATGTCAGTGTAGGTTAACTGGCAATATAATACAGTTACCTTTAGAGATGAAGAGTTTAAAGTACATTAGGTTTGATAAAGTCACAATGAGTTTGACAACATGGCAGAAGTTTATTGATAGTCTTCCTCATATTCCTCATACTGTAGGTGTGAGTGTAATGAGATGTAATATAACAGGAGATGGTGAGGAGTTAAATGATGATTGGTTTACATTGACATCACAAGGATTTAGAGGAGGGAAGGGAAATGATGTTGTACAGTATGTAAAAGATCAGAATCAGTTATTCCATGTTGAATATGATGATGATGATTGTTTTGCATTTTCAACAAAAAAGTGATATAGGATACATGTAGTTAATATTGTGGTTAAAGTAAATTATTGCATATTCAAAGACATAAATTATTATTATTAGATATTAAATTAAAACAATTAGAGGATACAATATGTACATGCCTTTAAATTTTCAACAAAAAAGTGATCCAGTAAGTCATGTAGTTACACTGTGTTAACTTAATTATTGTCTGTTGAAACAGATGATAAATGTGATGTTTTTTAAAGTTTCTATTTAGTTACATTGTGTGTGAAATTAATGTTTTTTTTATCTTTTCAACAAAAAATGGTTCGAAATTTTAACATAGTGAGAATGAATGCATGCACTTAACATAGTGTTCAGACTAAACAATTTCATGTTTCACACAATAAATTTGTTTTGTTAGCTGAGCTTTTGTGATCGCTTTTCGTCCGGCGTCCGTCCGGCGTCCGTCCGTACGTTCGTAAACTTTTACTTTAAATGACAACTCCTCATAAGCCACTAAGCCAATTTCATCCAAACTTAACAGGAATGTTTCTTTGGTGGTCACCTATCAAATGGTTCAAAGAATTTAATTCCATGCAGAACTCTGGTTGCCATGGCAACCAAATGAAAAAACTTTAAATATCTTCTTTTAAAAAACCCTAAGAGCTAAAGCTTTGATATTTGGCCTGAAAAATCTTCTAGTGAATTTCTACCAAGTTTGTTCAAATAAAAGCCATGGGGTCAAATTGGCCTGACCCCAGGGGGTCATTGAATTTCCCTATATGCATATAGTAAAAACTTAAAATATCTTCTTTTAAAGAACCCAAAGAGCTAGAGCTTAGATATTTAGCATGAAACATCTTCTTATAAGTGTCTACCAAGTTTGTTAAAATAAAAGCCCTTGGGTCAAAATTGGCCCCGCTCGAGGGGGTCATTGATTTTCCCTATATTCATATAGTAAAAACTTAAAACAATCTTTAAAAAAAAAACTCAAAGAGCTACAGCTAAGATATTTAGCATGAAACATGTTCTAATGAGTGTCTACCAAGTTTGTTCAAATGAAAGCCCTGGGGTCAAAATTGGCCCTGCCCCGGGGGTCATTGATTTTCCTTCTTTGTGTATAGCAAAAACTTAAAAAATCTTCTTTGAAAAAACCCAAATAGCTAGAGTTAAGATATTAAGCATGAAACATCTTCTAGTTAGTGTCTACAAAGTTTGTTCAAATAAAAGCCCTGGGTTCAAAACTGGTCCCGATCCAGGGGTGTCATTGTTTTTAACAAATTATGTATATAGTAAAAACTTTAAAAACAATCTTCTTTTAAAAAAACCAATGAGCTAAAGCTTAGATGTTTAGCATGAAACATCTTCTTATGGGTGTCTACCAAGTTTGTTCAAGTAAAAGCCTTTGGGTTAAAATTGTTCCTGATGGGGGGGGGGTATCATTGTTTTTCATTATATGTATGTAGTTAAAACTTAACATCATGAAACATCTTCTAATGGGTGTCTTCAAAGTTTGTTTAAATAAAAGCCCTGGGGTTTAAAGTGACCCAGCTCCTGGGGCCTATATACAGGTGAGCGACCTCATGGCCATCATTGATCTCTTGTTTTTATATTTTGATAAAAAAGTGATCTTAATATTGTAGTCAACAATCATCATAAACAGTCCATTAAATACTAATACTAGTCAATGTAACAAAATTTATTTATAATATTGAAATTGAAGAAAATAATATTCAAATTGTGTTTATAAAGAAATAAATAAAAGAAATGCAGTGCAATATAATACATATATTGATCTTAATAAAGGTAATTTTTTTTTAAGATCAATGATAGTTTATGAGGAAAAAACTGATTTGAAAAAAGTAATATTTTTATTATAAATCAAAAAGATATGTAAATAAACAAGTAAATAAGTTAATGAGTAAGTAAATTTAATGGAAATATCATACCACAGATGTACAAGGTTAGAAGAAGTAAAATATTAATATAACATTCAAATACCAGTTATATGATATAATATATGATAGGATAAGGGAATGGTATATGTAATTATAAACAATATATTATTACCAGTTATATGATATATAGGGTTATATGACTTGGAAGAAAAGTAAATTTAATATGTGAATACCTGTTATATGATATATAGGACAAATGAAGTAAATATATAAATACCGGTTATATGATATATAGGACAATGGAAGGGTATATATAAATACCAATTATATATGATATATAGGACAATGGATTGGTATATATAAATACCAGTCGTTTGATTTATTGGACAGTTGATCGGTATATATTATTACCAATTATATGATATATAGTATTATATGATATAGAGGAATTGTAATTTTTTTATATGAATACCTGTTAGATGTGAGGACAAGTAAATGATATACATATATTTTTCATGGAGATGACGACTACATGTACTTACAAGTTATATTTTAGAAATTTCTTTTTTGATTGTTTTATATGGTAAGGATTGAAAAAGGGAGAAAAATTATAATTATGCAAAACAATTAATGCGTACAAGTTAATACTGTAAGTTAGTATTACTCAAAGTGTTAAGTTAAAAAGACTCCACTGACGATTTTTGACATATTAGGAATTATATTGTTCTTGATTTGTTGACATAATAGGGTCCTAGCGACAGCTCTTGTTAAAATGTTTATAGCTAAAGTCTGTCTGAAAATCACACTTCATTAATATCGATTTTCAGTTTTATTCCGAGTATATTCCTTAAGTATCTTTTTTGTATTGAATACCCCGATTAATCTGTTTTTGATTTTCTATTTTCATTCTTTATTGTTTAGCTTTTGGGCCTCAGTGGAGCTCCTTTAAGTCAACTCTTTGTTGTGATAAATTTAAACACTAGGCATGTATAGATATACCTTGTTGTAAATTTAGATGTACTAGTAATTATACTGTTACTACATAGTATAACACAATTTTTAATCAAAACAAGTTATACACCATAGATGTAAATATGATTTCATTATACCTTCATACATATCCTCAATAGAAATGTACAATTTAGATAAAAAATATACATGGCTGTCAGGTGCAAGTGCTTATTGACTCTTTAACTGGCTTTACCTCTATCGATAACACCTCGGGGATATTAACCAGCTTTCAGCTGCCCCTCAAGGATATATACCAGTTCCCATTTGCCTTTCGAGATATATACCAGTTCTCAGCCCCCCCTTTGACATATATACCAGTTCCCTGCTCGGATATATATACCAGTTCTCTGCCCCTTGGTGGATATATACCAGTTCTCAGCCCCCCCCTTTGAGATATATACCAGTTCACTGCTCAGATATATACCAGTTCTTGGATTCCCTCTTAGGGAAAGATACCAGTTGTCTGTTACACCTCAGGGATATATACTAGTTCTAAGCTGCCCCTTAGAAATATATACTTGTTCTCACCTATACCGCAGGTATATATACCTAGTATTGCCTTGTGGGATAGATATATTAGTTCTCAGCAACCCCCAGTGGTGGATGTATTCCAGTTCTCAGCCACCCCCAGTGGTGGATGTATTCCAGTTCTCGGCATATTCATTGGTTATATATACCAGCTCTCGGATGTCAATATGCTCTTTCACACAGACAGCCATGTTTTATAAGTTTATATACTATCAGATATTTATGTTCATAGATAATTTATGTAATGGTTGAATTAGAATTTTCTAATTAAACAATATGTCATATTTAGTACCTGGAAGACATTATAACATTATAGGTATACATAAGTTATATTTCTGCTGATATTAACATAATTATGATATGTTAGTTTACATGTATTGTTAACATGAAATTACTCAAAAGTTATGTTGTTATCCTGTGTCCTGGGTAACCAATGGATACTTGTCATGTTTACACTTCATTCGTGATGAATGTAGTTTACCGGAATCAGTACCTCTGGGTTCAGTACCTCTGGGTTCAGCTAAAATAATGCTTTCAGACAGCAATGATATAACTACATCTTATGAATGGTATGTTAGGTTTTTATGCTGGCTGATGTTAGTATATTCCAAGGTGAAGATATGGTATATATAAACATGTTACGTATGTCTGATTGTTACATGAAATTCTGATTGAATGTATGTAGTACATATTATTACATGTTAAAGGGACTCCACTGAGGATTCTTGACACTTGACATGCCGTGAAAATATTTTTTTTGAGATTATTACTCCATTTGATGTAGATCTATACTAATAAATTATAAGCAAAATTTCAGATCATTAGCTCGCTCCCTTTTTCCAGAATTATTATTATAATAGTGAAAAATGACCCAAAATTGAAAAGTGTTTAAACGCTTTTCAATCAAATCGGACTGAGAATAGCAAAAACATACAATTTTCAATGTATTTCTTGTATAATTTTCTTAGTTATATTTAATTTATATTTCTGTTTAAAGTGCTCATGTTTATTTATGTGAAAATTAGAATGTTATGTTTTTAGGCTTATAAACCTCAGTTCCTTTAATATTGTTAATTGTATATTTACAAGCCATTGCAATCCTTTTATGAAAATAAGATTATATTATTTTATAAAAAAGTTATGTAAAATGACATGGCACTATACATACATTTTAAATTGTTGTACTATTTGTTTTAAAGGCCCATTAAGCCTTAAAAAATTCAATCACTTTTATTTTTCAAAAGCTTTCATAATTTTTTATCCAAAGAATTTCTCATTATCAGAGCCATCTGTTGTTGTCTTTGCAGTACAGTACAATATGATGAATAAGTATTTAATATGGATGTTAAATAACCATTTTGTTGACATTTTGCTACACAAATCATATTTTCTTTTCAAACTCATTTTTTTTTGCCATGTGATAAGAATATCACATGTTGTAAATCTATAATTACAACATTATAAAACACATATTTGCCCTTTTTTACAAAAAAAAAATAAATATATTCATTTTTGAGGCGTAATGTGCCTTTAAACTTTAAATGTATATATGATAGGGTAAATTCATTTATATAGTATCATAGTTAACATATTTATGATAACATGAAAATCATGTTATGAATTGTTTACTAGGTATGATAACATGAAAATCATGTTGTGAATTGTTTACTAGGTATGATAACAGGAAAATCATGTTATGAATTGTTTACTTGGTATGATAACATGAAAATCATGTTGTGAATTGTTTACTAGGAATGATAACATGAAAATCATGTTATGAATTGTTTACTAGGTATGATAACATGAAAATCATGTTATGTATGATAACATGAAAATCATTTTATGAATTGTTTACTAGGTATTTGAATTTATGTGTATTTTATGCTTATATTTGTAATCCTCATGATGACAAAACTATATTGGCCATGTTTATACTTAAACAATTCTATATGAAGTTAAGATAAGATCATGCTGGAATATGTCAATTATACATATACATATATATTAAACATGACTGTTTAAAACTTGAAATGTTCATTGTAAACAATATTCAGCTATTTTGTTAGCATCAATAAAAACTTGTCTGAGAGAACTAAACAATCGTGAAACATTTCGAAACAATTCTATTCATTTAACATAGAACTTTTTAAGTTTATTATAAGTAGCTGGTTTTATTGAAGAATTATAAGAAGATATCAGGCAGTGGTTGACCAACATTTTGTATAATAAATAACATGTCTAGAACATTATGTATTTTATAAGGTTAAAAAATTTAAATTCAGAATGGATACACAAGATCCATATTTATTGAATTTATCCAACAATGGTGACATGTATATCAGTATAGAGAAATGTTAACAAAATGTAGGCAATATATAACATTTAGATCTGGTCATATAACCTTTATGAGAGCATTGTTATTCTGCTGCTTTTGTTATAAATGTAATACTTTAAATAGTAAAATATATCTTTTTGATTGGTTCTGATAGCATGTATGTGTGACTTTTCATAATAAAGAATTGTACAAAATTGATTAGTATATTATTTGTTTTCCCCTCTCTACAGACCTAGTTATGCTCCCCGAAAAATTTCGGGGGAGCATATATTTGGCGCATTGTTCGTCTGTCCGTCCATCTCTCCGTCCGTTGTCTTGTCCGGAGCAAAACTTAAATACCCTTGGAGATAATTTGTTCAAACTTCATACAGTGGTAAAGGGCATTGAGTGGAGTACAGTGTCAAAGAACCATAATTCTATTTTGCTCGGTTTTTGAATTATCTCCCCTTATAGAAAAATCTTGTCCGGGACATAACTCTAAAACTATAAGAGATATCAACATTATATAATAAAATTGTAGGTAGATATATCTCAATGGGTTGATATGCAGTGCACAAGAACTTGAACTCTGCCTTGCCAAATTTTGTAGTAATTGCCCTTTGTTCATTTTTAGCTCACCTGTCACAAAGTGACAGGGTGAGCTTTTGTGATCGCTTTTCGTCCGGCGTCCGTCCGGCGTCCGTCCGGCGTCCGTCCGTACGTCAGTCCGTCCGTAAACTTTTACTTTAAATGACATCTCCGCATAAACCACTAAGCCAATTTCATCCAAACTTCACAGGAATGTTCCTTTGGTGGTCACCTTTAAAAATTGTTCAAAGAATTTAATTCCATGCAGAACTCTGGTTGCCATGGCGACCAAAAGAAAAAAAATTAAATATCTTCTTTTAAAAAACCGAAAGAGCTAGAGCTTAGATATTTGGCATAAAACCTCTTCTAGTGAGTGTCTACCACGTTTGTTCAAATAAAAGCCCTGGGGTCAAAATTGGCCCCGCCCCAGGGGGGTCATTGATTTTCCCTATATGCATATAGTAAAAACTTAAAAATCTTCTTTTAAAGAACCAAAAGAGTTAAAGCTAAGATATTTAGCATGAAACATGTTCTAATAAGTGTCCACCAAGTTTGTTCAAATGAAAGCCCTTGGGTCAAAATTGGCCCCGCCCCGGGGGGTCATTGATTTTCCCTATATACATGTAGTAAAAACTTAAAAATCTTCTTTTAAAGAACCAAAAGAGCTACAGCTAAGATATTTAGCATGAAACATGTTCTAATGGGTGTCTACCAAATTTGTTCAAATAAAAGCCCTGTGGTCAAATTGGCCCCGCCCCGGGGGGTCATTGATTTTCCCTATATGCATAAAGTAAAAACTTTAAAAATCTTCTTTTAAAGAACTCAAAGAGCTATGGCTAAAATATTTAGCATCAAACATATTCTAATAAGTGTTTACCAAGTTTGTTCAAATAAAAGCCCTGGGGTCAAAATTGGCCCAGCCCCAGGACGGGTCATTGATTTTCCCTATATGCATATAGTAAAAACTTAAAAAATCTTCTTTTAAAGAACCAAAAGAGCTAGAGCTAAGATTTTTAGCATGAAACATGTTCTAATAAGTGTCTACCAAATTTGTTCAAATAAAAGCCCTGGGGTCAAAATTGGCCCCGCCCCAGGGCGCGTCATTGATTTTCCCTATATGCATATATAGTAAAAACTTAAAAAATCTCCTCTTAAAGAACCAAAAGAGCTAGAGCTAAGATTTTTAGCATGAAACATGTTCTAATAAGTGTCTACCAAGTTTGTTCAAATAAAAGCCCTGGGGTCAAAATTGGCCCCGTCCCAGGGCGGGTCATTGATTTTCCCTTTATGCATATAGTAAAAACTTAAGAAATCTTCTTTTAAAGAACCAAAAGAGCTAGAGCTAAGATATTTAGCATGAAACATGTTCTAATGGGTATGTACCAAGTTTGTTCAAATAAAAGCCCTTGGGACAAAATTGGCCCCGCCCAGGGGGGTCATTGATTTTCCCTATATGCATATAGTAAAAATTTAAAATATCTTCTTTTAAAGAACTCAAAGAGCTATGATCAAGATATATAGCATCAAACATGTTCTAATAGGTGTCTACCAAGTTTGTTCAAATAAAAGCCCTGGGGTCAAAATTGGCCCCGCCCCGGGGGGGGGGTCATTGATTTTCCCTATATGCATATAGTAAAAACTTAAAAAATCTTCTTTTAAAAAACCAAAAGAGCTAGAGCTAAGATTTTTAGCATGAAACATGTTCTAATAAGTATCTACGAAGTTTGTTCAAATAAAAGCTCTGGGGTCAAAATTGGCCCGCCATGGGGGGTCATTGATTTTCTCTATATGCATATAGTAAAAACTTATGAAATTTTCTTTTAAAGAACCAAAAGAGCTAGAGCTAAGTTATTTAGCATGAAACATGTTCTAATGGGTGTCTACCAAGTTTGATCAAATAAAAGCCCGGGGGTCAAAATTGGCCCTGCCCCAGGGGGTCATTGATTTTCCCTATATGCATATAGTAAAAACTTAAAAAATCTTCTTTTAAAGAACCCAAAGAGCTATGGCTAAGATATTGAGCATCAAACATGTTCTAATTTGTGTCTACCAAGTTTGTTCAAATAAAAGTCCTGGGGTCAAAATTGGCCCCACCCCAAGGGGTCATTGATTTTCCCTATATGCATATAGTAAAAACTTAAAAAATCTTCTTTTAAAGAACTCAAAGAGCTATGGCTAAGATATTGAGCATCAAACATGTTCTAATAGGTGTCTACCAAGTTTGTTAAAATAAAAGCCCTGGGGTCAAAATTGGCCCCACCCCAGGGGGTCATTGATTTTCCCTATATGCATATAGTAAAAACTTAAAAAATCTTCTTTTAAAGAACTCAAAGAGCTATGGCTAAGATATTGAGCATCAAACATGTTCTAATAGGTGTCTACCAAGTTTGTTAAAATAAAAGCCCTGGGGTCAAAATTGGCCCCGCCCCAGGGGGTCATTGATTTTCCCTATATGCATATAGTAAAAACTTAAAAAATCTTCTTTTAAAGAACCAAAAGAGTTAGAGCTAAGATATTTAGCATGAAACATGTTTTTAATGAGTGTCTACCAAGTTTATTCAAATAATAGCCCTGGGTCAAAATTGGCCCCGCCCCGGGGAATCATTGATTTTCCCTATATGCATATAGAAAAAACTTAAAAAATCTTCTTTTAGAGAACCAAAAGAGTTAAAACTAAGATATTTAGCGTGAAACATGTTCTAATAGGTGTCTACCAAGTTTATTCAAATAATAGCCCTGGGGTCAAAATTGGCCCCGCCCCGGGGGATCATTGATGTTCCCTATATGCATATAGTAAAAACTTAAAAAATCTTCCTTTAAAGAACTCAGAGAGCTATGGCTAAGATATTGAGCATCAAACATGTTCTAATAGGTGTCTACCAAGTTTGTTAAAATAAAAGTCCTGGGGTCAAAATTGGCCCCACCCCAGGGGGTCATTGATTTTCCCTATATGCATATAGTAAAAACTTAAAAATCTTCTTTTAAGGAACCAAAAGAGTAAAAGCTAAGATATTTAGCATCAAACATGTTCTAATAGGTGTCTACCAAGTTTGTTCAAATAAAAGCCCTGGGGTCAAAATTGGCTCGTCCAGTCTTGGTGCCCATATAAAAAAATGAAGTTTAAAAAAAAATTGAAAAAAAAAAATTTTTGAAAAAAAGAAAAAAAAAAAAAAAATTGAAAAAAAAGCCATCAAAATAACTATTTTGGGTTGAGTGTAAGAAAAAAAAAATTGAAAAAAATATTTTTTTTCCTATATACCATTACTATGAAAAGGTCACCTAGTCGCCGTAACGCTACGGAGCTTTACTAGGACACGCTGTGGAACAACCACAATATCGAGTTCTGTAACAATAAAAGCTATTTTGCTATTCTTTACACATTGTGCATTTAGAAAATTGTTAACATTCTTATTGTACCTTACATACAATCTTAAATAACTTACATTTTAACTCGGACACTCCAATTTGTTAAAATTTTGCAAAACAACAGTGAAAGTGGGCCATTTTGTCGAAATCGAAAGTACAAAACACCGTACTGTTTCGCTGTTCTGGTCCCCTACGACTACGTTCGCTGAACAATAGACAACAGTAACCAATAAATTGATGGTTACCGTTGTCTACTGTTCCTCGCACGTAGTTGTAGGAAACCAGGATAGCGGAACAGTACGATGTATGTTTTGTACTTTCGTTTTTGACAAATGGCCGACCATCAACGGAATTTTTGCAAGATTTTAACAAACTGGAGTGTCCGAGTTAAGGTATTAGGACCCTAATGGGCACTATCAGGAACTAAAAAATTGACATCATAAGTCAGATGTATACCTTAAAGTACATTTGTATGCAAAATTTAAACAAAGTTTACCGTACGGAAATCAAGTTATGGCCACTTTTCTGAACTCAAGCTAGGATGTTATGAGGGCCCTTTTTTAGAATGTAGGAACCTTTAAATAATCTGCAATAACATTCTAATGGAAATGTTTTCCCATTAATTTTTGGTAAGAAACAAATAGTACCATTCAGCTAACAATCCAAATAAGCAAAATCATGGTTTCTACTTAAAATTTATGAAATCTGTATAAAAATGTTACCCTACCCCACCCATTTTTACCACGTGTCTGACCATTTTTCTACTTAGGGAGCCTAATTTTAAAAATTCTTAAAATTGACCCAAATGAGTGCCTGTTTTCAAAGTTTCCCTAAATTTTTAAAAAAGTATATTGGTTGATCTTGTAAAATATGAAATGCTTTTACCGTCTAGTTTTGATTATATTACACTTTGAAAATATCAGGTACCATATTTATTACTAGATTTAGCATAATTTAGCCAATAAATACCTATATAAATTAAAAGATCAAAATTAAACACTTTTTTCTTTCCAAATGGGACATGAGAGATACATAAATAATGTTAAAAGAAAAAAAGAAAGAAAAAAAAAAGTTGACCCTTCTGGGGATTGAACCCATGGCCTTCATTTTCAATGTAGTAAACAGTAGTTCTAGCCTTTTTGAATACTCTTCAAAGCGGAGGTAATGCATTAGGGTGCTAATACCTTAAAATGTAAGTTATTTAAGATTGTATGTAAGGTAAATGAAGAATGTTAACAATTTTCTAAATGCACGATGTGTA